CGAGAAATTATCCGTTATAGATTGAAGTATTTCTATATTCAACAGGTTTGGGATATCAACTTGAAAATTCCCTTCCGAAAACTTATGGTTATTTGTAGTTTACGAATGAAGTGTGATTATACTATGCTAATTAACCATTAAAACATTTCAGTATCAGGTGTTTCTGCTTTCAGTGAATGTCTCATGAGATTCCTCTATTAGCTCTAGTGGAAAAATTTTCACTATGTATAAACCCCCTAACTGACAATTATTATATACTCACTAGTGACCCAGGGAGGAAATTTCCAGGTGTCCTAGTGAGAAGCTGTGACGAGTGGAATTTAAATATGTCGGATATGTAGTAGGTAACCACCGAATATAGTAAAAAAAATGATCACACATTATAAGTGCCTGACTAAAGATAGAGTTTTACATCGTTGGATCTTGACCCATTAATCTAGTAGTTAAGCGTTCACGTACGAGACCTAAATGTTTTGTGTTCGGTGCATGGTGACGGTATATTGGATGCGAAATGCTGTAGAATCCCATACTGGGACAAAATAATTGTCTAGTCAATCTATGTTTTTAGTGTTTACCTATTTTACATCGGTCTACGATCTCAACAACATTCGCCAATCTCCACAGCTCCTTATGTAGTGAAGGAGAACACAGGTGAGGAAAATTGAATTATATTTAGCACGAAACTACACAGTTACTTGGTAAAATAGAAGAAACCATACTATAATAATTAATTAGTAAAATTTTCAGTAATTGTCTCGAACTTCGTTGTTCTTGCATTTCCATACTAATTGCTTTCTATTCCCGCTCTTCCTTTCTTGATCTTCCCCATCTGCTGCCAGACATTACATTCCTGACTCGCGTCATATACTACTTATATCAATATTAGTAGCACGCACCAAACTTATACTGATGGTATATATTTTATTTGATAATTAACATGAAATCCTGAATGCAAAATTCATTGAAATACGCTTGTTATTGATATTGAACTGTAGTAATGATACGATACAGTCCTAATGGGTATTTTTTTAAAATGAATTAGTATTTACCATTGTGACTATTATGTTAAAACGTAGTGGATTATGAATATTATATTATTAATGGACATTATCAATAATGATTTCATTTCTTAAAAAATTAGTATATAATGAATTACATTGGTTTTTCTCATATAACTACAAATAACTGATAATAGAAAAGTGTAAAACTTTCCAAAGTTTCCTAATTTTAAATCTTAAATTATTCAACTAATATTATTTTTGATTCATAAAATATATTTCTTATCATCAAATCAACTTTTTAATAGTTTAAATCATGAGTCAATTGAAGTTCGGTCACCATGGAAAACCTAGAAGCATTGGACGGCCGTTTCGTCTTGGATGTACACTGCTGAAGAGTCCCGCAGTAGGACGAAACGACCATCCAATATTTTCAGGTTTTCCATAGTGGTTTAGTTTTAATTCACTCATGATATCAATTATTAAAATTACTATAATATCCAAAAAGCCTCTTCTGATTTAAATCAACTTCTATTGTTCTGTTTATGTTCCATGTATCATTTTCAGATAATAATAATAATCATTATTATCAGTTTAATGGTTGTGGAGATTGTTAAGTTTTTGATTGAGATCATGAACCGATTAATGTTAGACCACCATTTAAAACCTGGAAGCACTGAACGGCCGTTTCGTCCTATTGATTGTAAAATAAAAATCATTGTTTCCTATAAAACAGTCAGCTTAGGTCCAGAGTAGATTTAAGTTAAGGTCATTTGTTGGTTGTTGCTGTAACGCTATCACCATTAAAGTTGAGGTAAATTAACCCAGGTTATTTGTTATGGATAGATTGCTTAGATTTTATTTTTCGGTTTACCTCATTCATCAATGTTAGTTTGTAGATGCCTGTTATATCTTAGGCATTTCTCAACTTTCGGTGACTCTTCGTCTAGCTTATCGGTAGTCAATTAACATTTAGTTCTGTAAAATTATTATTTTCACAAACCTGACTGAAGGTCCTGGGTTTGATGAAGGTATTGAAATAGTCGATGAGCACTACTATGGACCCCCAAAGTAGGACGAGTCAGTGGTTTGATGATTTCAGATTTTCACTAGTGGTTTAGCTACAGTCAGCTCATGATTTGAACTATGAGAATTCTAAAATGCTAACAAACCCTCTTGTAGCAAAAATTACAATCGACATCCTTCTCAATAGTTCAGATTTCAATCTTTTTTTTACACTGAATAACAATTATTTGCTATTGATTGATCGATGTTAGTCAGAGGAATAAATGAGCTGATCTAAATAATAGTTTGTTCACTGAATCGATTTCAAAATTATAAATAAATAAATTTCGGGAAAAAAAACCCAGTGATTTAATGGTTTAACTATTATTATTAAAATATTATAACTGTCTACTACGATGGAATTTTTCAATCCAAGAATTGTAACTGAATTACTCAATACTTAACAAATGTATTGTCAAAGACTTACGTAAAGATAACAAAATAATCAGTTTCACTTCTTATCTGCTCGTCTCATCAAAATATTTGTCAATCTCTTAAAACTTGTACCTATTTTCTTCTCTATCTGTATAGAACAACTTGCATGAAAGAACTGTCATTTTAACAGTAACTTAGCTATGCGTTAGGTAAACTTAATATCAGGTTGTATTTGGTCAACCGATAAGGCATGGTAGATAATATCAGCAAAACATCTAGAATCAAGCCATCTGAGTGAACGTTGAAGTTAGTTTTTTTTAAATTAAACATAGCTGTTTTTAAAAAAACCATAGAACACTAGAAAACTGCCACTGTTTATCAAATTTCTTACATTGGGACCTGGATATTTGGATTTGAGTTTTAACTTCTGATACAAATTTCCTTGTACACCGTTTTAGACTTTGAGTTCTTCATCTGTAGTCTGTGGAATTAATTAGTCTCTTGATAATTATTCATCTGAATGAAATAAATAATATATACGGTTTATATTTATACAAGTGAAATGTTTTTGTGTTCTGAGATCTGATTCAGTCAATAAGCACGTTCCTTACACTTGGTTAATTCGTTATTGGAAGTTAGAAGATTAAGACTGTGTGGAAAGATTTTTGGATAAAAACAAAATATTTATCCTCAAAACTTATGCATATATGTAGGTTCCTGATCCAGACAGAAACAGATTAGCTATGACCTTGTATAGGTGAGTAATTTACCTACATACTGTATCCCACCTATATTTATCTGACTTATATAGAGAAGGACCTATCGAAGAAAAATTAAAGATTTTACAAAAGGTATTGTCAAGGGATAAAAATAATCAATAGATGTATGTTTTTAAGCGAATAAAATAATTGAACATGGTGGTAAATAAAAGGATAAACTTTTCTGTATGATCTTTAAAGGTTAAAAGATTTTATACTCTCTGAAAGTAAAATAATTTAAATTTTAAGGTATTCCATTTGTAAAAATATTATCCTCTAGTTTTTGATATTTTTTAAAGGATCATCGAATATTTAGTGTTAGATACACTGAATTTAATTCTGATTGATTTAATTATAAGCTTTACACTTGGATTAAGTTCGCCTGGAGCCCCATAGGGGCTCCAGGCCAGTTCCAAGCCCGGATAAAGGAGTAGGGTTGGGCATGGGGTTAGAGACTCCATCCTGTAGTAAACTAACTCACTAAAAAACACTAAGCAGAAAAAATAAACTATTTAAGTAAGTTTACACTTGAATCAAGAATAATTTGTTATATAATGAAAGATAGTGAAGTAAATAGATATTATTCACTTGAATTTTCTATGAGCATAAATTGAAGAATTTTAAACAACTTGTACTTTGTATTTCAGTTGTAATTTGATCAGATCAGTTTTGTATTAGACTGTGGGACGACAATAGAAAGTATAGTGAAACTAAAGACTTTTTATTATATTCTGAAGAAATTTGTCGGCATATTTTCTTGTTTTTCCATGGGGTTTATATATTGCTTTAAGATGAGATATAGATTGACATTAATTGGATTAATAATGTTAGGCATTTAAAGGAGTTATTGAGGTTATAAGTCAGTGACGGAAAATCAGGAAATGCTTGACAGTTGTTTCGTTGAAGTATGATAATATTCAGTGCCGCACATCCATAAATTCATTAAGGTTTGAACTAAAGACATTGAAACCTCACAGTGAATAACTAGTCTTCAGATCAGTGGGTTGATTTAAATTTCCAGTTTCATTCAATCCACAATAATTCTCTGTCATCATCGGGATTAATAATACTAAGCCTTCCTGAACATTGATATTCTCTATTGAAGATTTCTACTGTCCAATGATTTTTGATTACCAGTACTTTTTTAACTAAAGTCAATCAGTGATGTCAGATTATTAACTGTATTATAATAATACTATCGTTTTGATTACTCATGAAATTTCATAAACTGTGATATTATCTTTTAAACTTTCTTGAGTTTCGTTAAATTACAAATTCAATGCCTAAAATATATTTATTTTCAATGGTTAAGATCATGAGTCAGTTCAAACTAGACCATCATAGAAAACTTGGAAGAATTTGACGGCCGTCCCGTCCTATTGTTGGACTCCTCAGCAGTGCGCGCTGCTGAGGAAATTACTATAATATCCACAAAACCCATCTGATGTATTTATTTATCATTAAACAAACGGATTATTTCTATTGGTTTATTATTACTGACCAATAGAAATAATAGTTACATTCGTAAATATTAACCAATTAAAACTCAGTAATATACACTAATTACATATTAAAAAAATGATACCACCTATCTATACATTTCTTATACATTTAAATCTTATAAAATAGAGAATTATTATTTGTTCTCCTTGGATAATTTCCCTATCACTTAAGAAAAATACACTATATAAAGGGGTTAGATACTTTTATCAAACAATCATATATTAAGATAAATTGTTTAATTTCAAAAATAAACCATACAACAAAATAGTGGAACCTAATTATTATTATTTGAATATTAATAATGCGTAAATATCATCATTATAATTTATTTAAATCTAAAAAGTATATATCAATCTTTACCATTTATGTAATATGTAATATATTATACATAAATGGTGAATTATTAGATGATTCATCATTATTAATTGACTTTCCATGTGGTCCACATCCAATTGATATGTTTCTATCAAAATTATTTGATTATTTAGAAAAACAAGAAACACCAATTATGGAAACATCAAATGAAACTGATGAAAAATTACATATTAAAATGATATATGCTAAATTATTATATGCATTTACACCAATGCCTAAAAGTAGTTATTATGTATACAATGAAATTATGCGATCAATTAATAGTTGGAATGAATGTATGAGTAAACAGCCAAGATTGAAGAAATGGTTAAAACGTAGAAATTTCCTTCAAAATGTCAATACTATTGTACGTCCAAATACGGATAAGTTAAATTTTAAACAGTAAATCATCTTTTTTTCCTAAAAAAACAAATAACACATACAATAACCTATAGCATTATGTTAAGTAGATGTAACTCAGTTTTCGTTGATGTTGTTATCAGTTGTTATGAATATCTCAAAAACAAATGAATTGGATCATTCAATATGATGTTTGTCACTAAACAATAAAAAGCAATACATTGATAAGTTCTTAAACTGATTTATTGTTCGTTTATGTGTATGTGTGTGTACTTCTTTGATTGATTTAAATGTTCTTCTGCATTCTTCTACTCATAATGTATTTTCCTATATACTCTACAGTCCTACAAATTTTGTACAAGGCAATGTTTTAATTAGTGGTTATTAGATTCGTCATTATATTTACCAAGAATGCTGTTGTTTTGTTATCTTTGTCAGTGGATTTTGTTTCTGTTTTCTCTTTCATTGTTGTTCATGTATTATTCTTTACGTTGACGATATAAACAATAATTCATGAATGTTATTTTTTCATCGTCTAACTTATTGCTATTACTACGCTCATGATAAAATGGTTGTACTACTACTACTACTCGTACAAAATGGATAACATTTTACTAAATGAAATCTATTCTATGAGTAAGTGTTAATGTTAGTTACTTAGTTACATCGTAATTTGTATTCGTATGACTGTGTATGTATGTGCATGTGTCAAAGTGATCTAATTACTATCAATTCTAAAACAACTACCAGATGAAACTATTCACACACATATTTATTCCGCGATACGAAAACAAATATCAAGAATAACAATAATGTTAATAATAATAATTATAATAATGTTAATAATAAATTACCTCTTGGCATAATCATTTAAAGTATTCTGTATTTTATGGCACCTATGGTTTGAGTTATATAACTATGATTCACGTATATCTTATCATGACACATTATATTTCGTGTAAAATAAGTGTTGTGAATATATGTGTTGAATTGGAATAATTCAATAGTGAGTTTAAGAAATAACTTTACCCTTTAATTGATCGTTTATTAAAACAAGCTTCAAATTCTTGGTAATAACTAAGTTATATTAGTCAAGGTAATATAGCTATAAGGATAAGTGACTAGTTATTAAAGTTTATTTTGTTTCTTCTGGATGGTTGTTACCTCTGACCATTAATTAACTAATCAGCCTATTCATTCGACTGTACAACTTAACAGACTTTTCTGTTTTCGTTTAACATCGTCCTATATTTATTATATTGTTAGGATGGAGCGATTAAATTATGTGATTGTAATGTGGATTTCTGAGTATTCTAATGAGCATGGATTTGGAACTCACCTTCAACAAAAGCTTGGCATTGTGGTAGCTGTTCAAGAGTTTTATCCATCTGAATTCTAAAAATCCGTACGGTTTGGAATTTTTTTAAAAATAACTAATTGTTTATTAACTATATTTGTTTTCATGGAGAGCTTACAAGTAATTACAATCAAATGAAAACAATACAGTTGTCGACATATTTTCCTTCTGATATATATTATTTAGATTAGGGTATATATGATCCATTCAGTCACTGATTTCTTTCGCATTGTACTGTTAAATACTTCACATTTGCAAGTAGTATACAATATTTCTGTCCAAATGATTTGAAATGACTGACGAATTCCTCAAATTATTTTTAACATGCTAAATACTACTCATTATTAAATCAATAATAAATTAAAGTAACCTGTGTTATTAGTGAAAAAGAAATAACGACAATTAACTGAAGCAAATTTAACCTCAACGATATCATTTATTCAAGCTGTACAACCGATTGCTTCTTAAACATCTTTCGAAAAATTATTCTGCTTAGTTTTCGAAAGTCGTATGCAAAAACAATCAGCATTTCAATATTGGAACACGGCCCCATCAGACAAATCATTTAGAATGATTTATACAATCCAACAATCTGATTCAAGGAAAACACATCAATAACTTGTTCAGTTCAAAAGCGTTAGTGACTCACTTTTTAAACTTGAGCTCTGTGTGCAAGAACGACACGTTCAATCTATCATTTTTTTCATGACTGTGACATGTAAATTTAATGGATAACAATTGAGTTGTTAATGCATCCTTCAATATTTTATTTTAATCATTTTATCTCTTATTGTTCATTTTCATCACTTTTATTGTTCCAGACTTACTATTCACCTTTCTCATACTCGTCAAGTGAACAGTTATCCTTTATATATTTAATTTCATCTTATAAACTGTTTCTAAACTTTAATAGTTGAATTCATAAGTCAATCTAAGCTATATCACTACTGGAAACCTGAAAGCATTGAATGGCCATTTCACCTCAGCGGTGCACATCTACAATTCCGCACAAGGGACTCAAACCAAAAACCTTCGGCTTCGCAAGTGAATAGCCAACCTCCAAACCATTGAGATAGCATTCAACAATGTTAGTGTCTAACTTCAATTCCCAATTATCATGCTTTTTTTCTAAGACATGAAATAAAGTAATCTTTTTCAATTGACTAACTTATTCATTCATTAATTAACTATTCATACAATTATCAGAAGGGGTTTTGTGAAGATTTTTAGCAATTTCAATAGTTGAAATCATGAGTCATTTGAAGCTAGACCAACATGGAAAACCTGGAAGCACTGGACGACTGTTTTGTCCTAGTATGGGACTCCTCAGCAGTGCCCATCCATGATCCCGCCTCGCAACATTCGAACCCATGATCTATCAGTCTCGCGCGCGAGCGCTTGGCCATCAGACCACTCATTAGGTATCCAACGGTGTTAGTTTCTAACTTCAACCAATCCGCGAAGTTGCGCCACCGTACACCACTGATAGTTCCTGGGCTCAAATCCCGCATGGGGCTGGATCGTGGATGCTCACTGCTGACGAGTCCCATACTAGGACGAAACGGCCGTCCAGTGATTCTGGGTTTTCCATGATGGTCCAGCTTCAATTGACTCATGGTTTCAACTATTGATATTCATACAATTGTACAGTTTATGTAGATGATACCGATAAATAAAAAAAATTCTTTTCATTGAACTGATTTCACTTATAAATAACAATAAAATAGAAATGTATATATAAAACTGATTTTATTATATTTTTTTTAAAAAAAGATATCGAGTTGTAAACATTTCTAACTGTACATAATGTGACTGTATAAATTTGTCTCCATATTGTAAATAACATTTCTTCATTAATAAGTTATTGATAATGATTATCAACAAAATTATGTGATATATAACGGTTACTAAGGGTGGGGATTCGAATAATTATAGAGAATATATATATATATATATATATATATATATATATATATATATATATATATTGTTTGGAGTTAGAATGAAAGATCTTGTTTTGTTTGGAACTTCTACTGACCGATTTGAGTATTGTATTATTCAAATAGTTCCGGAAATTTAGGCGTCTAAATTAAGTTTGTTTTCTTTTTGTTTTTTCAAAGTTAACACGTGATTATTTATCAAAAAGAAGATGAAATGAAGATTAATTATTCAAATAAAATAATAAATTCCTAATAACTTTACTAAATAGATATTTTCTAATCAGACAGGAGTTTTGTAGAGATTGTAGTTATCTAATAATTGAATTCATGAGTCGATTAAAGCTAGAGCACCATGGAAACCTGGAAGCACTTTACCTCCATTTCATCATAATATGGGACTCTTTAGCAATGTGCATCCATGATCCCGCCTCTCAAGATTTGAACCCAGGAGCTATCAATTTCACGCGCAAAAACCTAACCTCTATACCCCTGAGTTGACATTTAACGGTGTTCATGTCTGACTTCAAGCATTCGCACGCGAGACTGATAGATCCTGGGTTCGAATGTCGCGAGGCGCTATGATGTATGCCCACTGCTGAAAAGTCTCACAATGGGACGAAACGGACGTCCAGCGCTTCCAGGTTTTCCATGGTGGTCTGTCTTCAATTAATTCATGAATTCAATTAATAAATATTTTCTATTCATTCAAACATTGAATCATATTGTGGTATGGGTTACTTATATCTACATCAGTAGTATATAACTGTGGTCAGGCGTAGAATGTATTTCAGTAGAAGATTGAGAAGGAAAGAATGGAAACGGGACGCAATTAGTATGAAAGTGTATGAACAATGAAATCTGAGACAATGGACTGATATTGGCAAATTGATCAGTGAAGTTTGAGACGATGGATTGATATTTTGTAAATTAACTATTTGCTATATGGTTCTCAGATTTTAGTGAGATATCCTGTAATTTCGTGTCAAATACATCCGATTGTCCCCATCCGTATTATTGTTCACTATGATATTATCGAAATACTTTGAATTTACTGTTATAAGCAGATAATATACAATTAGTTAATTCAATACTGAAACTTTATAAAGGAAAATGTTAAAGATGCATTTCAAATTATGGATAATATAAAAATATGAATATAAAGGTTGAAACTGTGTTATCTGTAGATGTGACATTTTAATTCACAAATATTCTACTGACAAAAACTATCGATTGGATGTGTGAACAACATTTAGAATAGTGAATAATGATACTTGATATCAGCAGAGAAAATAGATGAGCTTCTGTTGAAATGAAAAAAAAAGAATATTTACTTCACATTTAAAAATGAAGTCTACAAACAAGTAGGTGGAGCAGTAATGGGTTTTGACTTAGGTTCGATGCTCAGTGATACTTTCCCGGCCAAAATAGAAAATAGATTATTACAGGATGATTTAAATTAGCTGTAATATTATTGTTAATAAGTAGATAAAACGCTAATCGTGTGTAACAATAGTATCAATAAACAAGAGCTTTTGAATAGTTTCAATAACGTCAATCCAGCTATTGGGTTTACTAGAGAAGAACATTACGATAGCAGCATAGGTTTCCTTAATGTTTCCGTTTTCAGAATGACAAACAGTTTCATAAGAAGGAATGTATATGAACTGATCACTAAAACCATTTGCGTAGCTTTACACCTCTTTGATTTAAATATCTGAGTCATAAAATCGAACTATTATGTTTTGAGGA